AGCCCTAGTTTTGCAACAAAAACCAAACCAAACACAAACTTTTTCAAGCAAAACTTGTTAATTGCACTTCACACGTTCTGTAGATACCACGTGTTTGAAGGTTATGTCAATACAAGTCAACGCCAAGCAAGATTTTAAATGAATGTTTAAAAACGACATTAATTTTTACTAGACCTAATACATCAGAAAGCAGGTCTAATTAAGCAAGTTTATTCTATATCTGTAAAAGGCTAAGTTGACTTGCACATGCGCAATACATACAAAGCTCTCACTGGCACCAATTGCACGTGTGTTTAAATCTATCAGTGTCGATCATGAATTTGGTTGACACTTTTATTATAGAGAAAGGTCGAATAGCGATATTAAAATATTCTTCTAATTAATTTCCTTTCAATGTGCACGAATTTGTGCTCCATGCCACTAGTATATGTATGGAATACACAACTTTATCTTGATTTTTTTGTAAGTTAATATATTTATCATTTTGTAACTTGATTTTTAACAAACTATAGAAATGATCCCTGAAAGTATAGTCTTTGTGACTTGATTTTTAAATGTGTTGGACATATACTACATAAAGATGTACCTCACTCATTTTATTAGCTGAAGAGTATTTTATATTATAAAATGCATATATTTAAGCCAGTCTCCTTTTAATAAACATTTAGGTTATTTTCAAAATTAAAAAAACAAACAAAAAACACCTCAATGCTATAGTGAGCAATAATTTATTTTATGTACAAGTACAAAACTATGCATTACCTAGATTTTTAGAACCATTTGACCAAAGGGTATCTGTATTTAAAATTTAGATAGGTATGGGCAAATTACCCTTCAAAATGGCTTTAACAAACTTTTACTGCATCCATAATGTAGGAGAGTGCTTGTCCTCTACAATCTTACCACTCTGGATATTATAGATCCTTTGGATTTTTCCAACTTGATGAGCAAAAATATGTCTTCGGGTTTGGTCTGCATTTTCTTGCTTGTTAGGAGAGTGGGAATTATTACATAGCTTTGAAATGTTATAATTTCCAGAATATTTAGGGTAGTACTACACATTAAAAGATGATTTGTATTAAGTTCTAGACAAAACTTTTACACTTTTAAAAATAAGAGAATATGCTATTTTAATAAGGTGAAAAGGACTGATATATTAGAAATGGGAATAGAAAACTAAGAGCTACCGTGTTTCCCCGAAAATAAGACATCCCCTGAAAATAAGACCTAGCGCAAATTTGGGAGAAAAAATTAATATAAGACACTGTCTTATTTTCAGGGAAACAGGGTAGTATTTCATCTTTTCAAACCTGACAAACTAATCCTCTGCTGAATTGGTAAAGTTTTGCTTTTCTTTTCCACATAAGAAATGTATGAATAGAACAATTCATTAATGCTTCTAGATCAGCAAGTACCCATCTCTAAAGAATATTTCTTTTAGGGGTTAACTATCTCAATGATAGGATTTAAACATGCAAGTCCTATTAACATTAGTAGGAGTTACCAGCATAAATCCCCATGCAGTGATAGGCTAAAAAACACTATACCAGAATTCAAGTTCTAAGGATTACCAATCAAATGGTCCTGAGAGTCATCATCACCAGAAAGAGAAGACGTGGCAACCTGTATGGGAATGGCATCTCATTGCAGCCCTACAGTTAAACTGTATTAATGAGAAGTAGCTTTCAAAAAGCAACCTGGGATGCTAAGTGTTAAGCCACTTTACTGGCTTTTTTTTTTAAAAGCCATCATTAAAGAGAATTCAATCATATCAAAGCACTTGTTTTTAAAAAGTGTGAATACTAAAAAAAAAAAAAAAAAAAAGTGTGAATACTGTATGAGCTGTAAATGTGCTTGAAGGATAATATAGCTACTCTTTTGAAAATTCAATTAACCTTATCTTTCTTAAACTTGATTTATTAATAATCTCTCAGATAAATTTTGAAAGACTCCTGTTATCTTTTGAATATGTCCTGTCTGAGAAGCTTCAGAGTCTACTTGGAATTGACAGAGATGTCACTCTACTTTAATTATATGATTCAAGAACAAATCAGAGTTCAGTGAATTAATTCTGCATTAAAAAGAAAATCACCAGTCTGTTGTTTGTTGCAAATAAGCTTTTGGGAACTCAACTACAACAGAGAAAAAAAAAAAACATTTCAGGTTCTCATTCACCAAGTAAGTATGAAAAACATCTTAGATTCTTGTACACCAAGTAAAAAGTAAAAACAGTCTGTAGGCAATCAATGTACTGTAAAGCCATAGCCCACGCCTCATAGCTGATTTTAAACAGCATGAGGTCTGATACTGGCATCTAGAACAATTCACTAAGTAAATCACGTCCATGTATCATTTGATTACCTTTCTCACAAACCTGACATAGTTGACAAATGCTGGGAACAAAACCAAGTATACAGTCGACAATAAACTGATATCAACAAATAAATAATTTCTAAGACAAGCTTTAATTTCTTGGCATATATACAAAAGATTCATATTAGAAAATAGGATACTATACCTGCAAGGCATTGAAAAAATTTTTCTTTATTTTCTTTGAAAACTTACTATTACAGTGTGCAGATTATGAATAATCATGTATTCATGCATTTTATAATGCAAATAAGACAACTGAAAGTAGAGACATAAATTATTCATTACCAATAGTAGTAATTTGTTTGTAAGAAATTTATTTAATTCTTGTTTTAAAGAATCACTATCATTTAGCAATCCAATTTCAACAAAATATTTTGAGGTCTTTAATTCTTTAGACAAAGGGCTGCCCACCTCAGAAACTACCATTGTAAGATTAATCATTAATGTGGCAATTTTAGTATGGGAACTAAATATCACAGGAGATAGGGAAAATCAAAACTTAGCTTTCATACATAAAAATATATGTTTTTCTAGACAGGCATAGCAACTAGACAAAAATATAGTAGTAACACAGGGTTGGTAACCAACTTCATATTTATCACCAAACTGAATAGCATTATCATTTTTGGTTAATGAGAAGCATGCATAACTAAACACTTTAAACACATGAGTCAAATTCATTGATAATGGTAATTTTTAAAATTTTAGATTATGTACTGAAATTTCTGCATCACATACAACACATTAATTTTATTCATATGACTTGAGTCTGTGACCTGACAGCTCACTTACATTAAGATCTTCCCTGAAATCTCGGGAGATCAGAGCTCCTGTAGCTGAAGCCTATAAGAATTATGTGCTCTTTACTGTAGTCATGGCCCTCTGGTCAGCAGCATAGGGTGGACTGAACAACAATAAACATTTTATGTATTTATATATTGAAATAAGTTGTTAAATCCAAACTATTGCTCAAAAAAGTAAATCAGACCTTGATATTTGTAAAAAAAAAATTTAATATAGTCACTGTCATTGTAACTAAGATTTTCTGCCTATGTACAGCCCTAACACTTTATTAAGTGCATACTAGCATTTATCAATTGTTATACTCTATTCAGAGTCCTTGTTGGTTTCAGGTTTACCTAACAAAAAAGAAATATGAAGAATTTTCCTCCTTAAGTATTTTCCTTAAGAGTTAAATCCCAAATTCCATGTTACTATGTTTACTGACATATCTATATATATAAAAGGCTAATATGCAAAGTGTCCCCTTGGGAGTTTGATCAGGAGACTGGGAGTTTGATCACTCACTATGACATGTACTGACTACCAGGAGGTGGCATGGAACAAAGGGAGGCCCTGGCTGGAAGGCCCATATCAGCCTGATTGCTGGCCTGGCCTAGGAACCCTACCCATGCAAGAATGTCATGCACCAGGCCTCTAGTAAGACTATAAAATACTAATATAGGAAATAGAGTTTATTTTAAAAGCTTAATAGAATAAAACATTGAGATCTACACTGAGTGGTCAGATTATTATGATCTCTGAATGCATAATAATCTGGCCAATCTGTGTGTGTGTGTGTGAGAGAGAGAGAGAGAAAGAGAGAGAGAGAGAGAGAGAGAGAGAGAGAGAGAGAGAGAGAGAGAGAGAGAGGGGCCCAGTGCATGAATTCGTGTATGGGTGGGGTCTGGCCAGCTTGTCCAGGGGGAGGGGACATGGGTGGTTGGCTGGACTGCCTGGTCTAACTCCTGGTTGAGGGGACAATTTTCATGTTAGCCTTTTATTTTATAGGATATATACTGAGTGGCCAAATTATTATGCGTTCAGAGATAATAATTATCTGGCCACTCAGTGTATTGTGTTGGGGAGGTTCACAGAAAATAATTATTTGTTGTTAATAATTGTTTGCTGCATGAGGTTTTTGATAGTCATCTACAAGTCAATGGGAAAATTCTGAAACAACTTTTCTTCCAGAAAAACCATTCTAAAGATGGCACTGCATTTATCTTCAAAATCATTCTCACAGAATAGGCAGGGTATTACTATTTCTACCTTACATATGGAGACACTAAGGACTAGAAGTTAAAAAATTTGCCTGATATTATCAGTAGTGTAGCTAGGACTAAATTAGGTCCATAGACAATTAGGCTAGTGTTCCAGTTACTTACAGAATTTTCCAAAGACCAATGAGCCTATCTAAATCCTCTTTTCATTTCTTCATTATTGAGCTTTTCTAGCATATAAATGATTCACATATAAAATCACTACTAACATTTAATAATGCTGAGTAATGGGCTCCTGGGTGGGTGGCTATTGGTTGAGCTTTGTCCCATATGCATAAAAGGTTGTTTTGATTCTTGGCACATGCTGAGGGTTTAACCTCATTAATGTGCCTTTGGGAAGGAACAAAACAATGTTTCTTGCATCAATGTCTCTTTCTCTCTCTCTCTCTCTCTCTCTCTCTCTCTCTCTCTCTCTCTCTCTCTCTCTCTCTCTCTCTCTTTTTCCCTCTCTCTGAAGTCAATAAAAACATATCCTTAGATGAGGATTTAAAAAAACTCTAAAAGAAAAAACAAAAACAAAAAACAAAAACAAAAAACCTCTGTTACAAACACAGATTCCTCCTAGTTCATACTTTAGTTTTCTAAAATCTGCTTTCTAAATCTGCTTTCAATCAGGTTCAATTTTTCAAACAGCTGCTCAATCAAGAAGACTCTGAGGCCCAGAGGAACTTCCAAAGTGGGATATATAGTTTGTGGTATATCTGTTGTTATTCAGAGTGCTCCTCTGGCTTCAACAGGTTTGCACTTTCCTTGGGAGTCTCTAAATTGCCCTCTGGTACGACACTGGATTCTGAAGTATCTGGTTGTAAATTGTCTCCATCCGGAACAATGTCTTCAGGATTTGGAGGGGGTGGACAGAAGTCTTCATTGGGGCAGATTTGCTGGAAGAGGGTCTCAGCCTGGCCAGGGAAGAAAGGACACAATACTTTTTGGACATCAGTTTAAAATGTATATGCCTTTCTGGCATTATTAAAAAAATATTACACAATCTCTAAGTTATAGAACTTTACACAGTATACATGACCTTTTAAAATCTGCTTTCAGAATTCCCTGACTTCTCTCTCTAATTCTATGCATGCATTCAGATCCATCCTTCAAGTATATAATAAGTGCCTGATCAGGTACTTTATAAAGTGTTCAGATAGATGACAATTTAAGGACATTCATTCTACATGTCAGTCAAATACAATTTCCCTTAATATCCTTTACGTAATTTCTGAATAGAACCTATTTATGATATCCATATAGTCTAATTGAGCATATAATAATTTTAACAAGTCATAGTTCAAATCAAGAAAATGTTTTATTGTTTGCTAAATTATTTCATTTTCTGGTATAATTTTTATTCCCCTGGGCTTTAAGGAGTATAGCACAGTGTTTAAGATCATGGAGTATTACAATAGTAGATATCTGTAGATGAATATTGGCTCTGTCACATAGTAGAAATGTGATTTGGGAATGTTTGCACACCTTCTGAGCCTTGCTTTCCTTGTCTATAAAATAGAAGAGACTAAGCCTCTGTATATGGTAGCTGTTATCATTGTTATTCATCATAATACAATTTAAAATGTTAACATTTAAGCAGAGTTTAGTCTGGTAGGATAGGAGAAGAAGAAATTAAATGTGATCATAATTAACAATAAATACACACAAGAAAGTATGTTGCAAGTAGCATTGCTACTCTATTCTAAACTTATCCCGACATTTATTTAAATGAATAAAGCTAATTGTTAGGTAAGAGTCTGTGCCAATCTAGGGAGCTTGTACTATATCCTATAGGTAAAGGAAAGCCACTCAGAGTTTTAAGATATATGCTTGTTTTAAAGGCTATATGTCTTTCTGTACCACTTCACCCCTCCTTCCCAAGGTACACAAAAGACCATCAATTAGGTCATGAGTTGACAGCCATAGCCTCCAGGGCAAATCCAGCCTGTTGACTGATTTTTCAAATAAAGCTTTATTAGAACACAGCCATTCTCATTCCTTTACCTATTGTCTATGGTTGCTTTTGCATTACAATGGCAGAGTTTAGTAGTTGCAATAGAGAGTACCACAGCTGCAAAATTTAATCTATTTCCCATGCTGCTATGTACAGTTAGATTCCTACACCAGGTTATTAAAACTGGAATTTTTTGGGAATGGATGGAAGGATAGTAAACAGAAACTTTTGAGCTTTGATGTGGAGTTGAAAGATTGAACAGGGAGAGAAAAACAGCTTCTCTTTCTTGAGTACAGTTTAAGGCCATATTTTTAGTATATGTCATTTTACTATGGATATTTTAAAATAGAATATTTGAGACATCTACTTTGTTCCCCACTCCAGGAACTCACTATACTTCATCGCTGGGGACACTTGGAAGCAGGACAGAACCTCCTGAGGTCAGACAGAACCTCCAGCTAACACTTGAGTTTCTCTAATAGACTTTGTCTTTTATCTCTACTTTGTCTATAAAAGTTCTCCCTCCCCTGCACCATCTCAAATCAATCATCAAATACTGTTGATTTTATCTTCAAGTTCTTGACTCTACCTGTTCCTTTCTTACAGACATAGCCCAGGCATGCACCACCTTTCCCCTTGACAATAGCAATATTTCATAACCTGGCCTCTCAGATTCTCCCATGCAATCCATCTCCATGCTGCTCTTGGAGGGATATATGGAAAATGAAATTCTATGTATGCCACTTTGGGGCTTAAAATTCTTCACTGACTCCACATTTCAAATAGGATAAAAACCCAAGATCCTTACTATGGTATACAAAAATCCTTCAATCCATTTCTACCTCTCAGACATTTTGCTTCACTAACACTAGTTTATTTATACTTTCTTAAGCAGGCCATTATGTTAGCCTGGGCTGGTGTAGGGGTTATAACATTTGAAATGTTGAAATCTGAGTATCTTCCAATTAGATGGGGAATTGCTATTTATCTTTTATATCCCTCTCTGTAACTTTCTCTAACTCCTAGATATATTTCATGGCCCCTCTGTATTACATCTGTACTTTGGATATTATCTATAATTACATATACCATACTACACTGCCATTTGTTGACACATTTTTCTCTTTTACTAAATAGTGATTTATTCAGGGATGACAAGGATTAGGTTTTAGTCAAATCTGATTCCTTAGTTCAAGGCATGGAGAAGCTCAATATATATTTTAATGATTGGCAGACCTTTAAAAACTACAATATGTTGTGCAAATGTTGAATCCTAATAAAGAGGGAATATGCAAATTGACTATCACGCCATAACAAGATGGCTGGGCCCACAATGGAGGGGGAGGCAGGGATTCCACAACACAAGATAGCTGCACCCATAGTGGAGGCTGAGTTCCTATAATGAGAATTAATGAGCAATCAGCAGGGACCTAAGGCTGCACCCTCCCCACCTGATGGGGCTTGACAGGCGACCTCAGGCCGTGGCCCCTGCCCCAGTACCAGGCTGGGAACCTCAGGCTGTGCCCCACCCTGGTTCCAGACTGGGGGACCTCAGGCTGCAACTCCTGCACAGCAGGGCTTGACAAGGACCTCAGGCCACATTCCTCACCTGGCAGAGCTTGATGGGGAACCTCAGGCTGTGTGCCCTGCACAGCAGGGCTTGACGGGGGACCTCAGGCCGCACCTCCTGCCCCAGCACTAAGCTGGGGAACTTCAAGCTATGCCCTGGAGACCTGAGGCCACACCCCATGACCTGGTGCCAGGCTGTGGGACCTCAGGCCGAGCCCCACAACCTGGTGCCAGAATGGGGGACCTCAGGCCATGGCCCCTGCCCCAGTGTCAGGCTGGAGGACCTGAGGCCATGCTCCCTGCCTGGTTGGGCTTAACAGGGACCTCAAGGTATGCCCCCTGCCCCGGCCTGGGCCAGAGGACCTCAGGCTGCGCACCCTGCCTTGGCACTAGACTGGGGGATCTGAAGCTGCACCTCCTGCCTGGTGGGGCTTGACAGGGAACTTCAGGTCACACCCCCCTCCCTGGGCCAAGTGACCTGAGGCTACACTGCCCACCTTGTGGGGCTTGATGGGGGTAGAGCTGGCAGGGCCTGGATCTACCCCAATGGGGATGAGGCCAGCCGGGTCTGGGTCTCTCAAGATTTTGAGATGCATGTAGGTGGGCAGGGGCTTGACTCTGCTTCCTGTGGCATGCCACAGACTCTGACAGGAGGAAGATTTTCATGTACATTTTACTAACTTTCTTTCACCTCAGACACTTTTATTATAGAGAAAGGGTAAATAACAATATTAAAATATTTCCTAAAATTAACTCCCTTTTAATGTGCATGAATTTTGTGCACCAGGTCACTAGTCCTATATAATAAGGAGGTAATATGCAAATTGACCTCCACTCCAACACACAAGATGGCCACCCCCATGTGGACACAAGATGGCCACCACAAGATGGCCAGCAGGGGAGGGCAGTTGTGGGCAACAAGGCCTGCAGGGGAGGACAGCTGGGGGTGACCAGGCCTGCAGGGGAAGGCAATTGGGGAGGAGGGGAATCAGGCCAGCCAGGGAGGTCAGTTAGGAACAACCAAGCTGGCAAGGCAGGGAAGCTAGAGGTGACCAGGCCAGCAGCAGAGGGCAGATGGGGGAGACCAGGCCTGCAGGGGAGAGCAGTTAGGAATGATCAGGCTGGCACGGGAGGGCAGTTGGGGGAAATCAGGCCAGCAGGGGAGCAGTAAGGCATCGATCAGGGGAGTGGTTAGGAGGTGATCAGGCTGGCAGGCAGAAGCAGTTGGGGTCAATTAGGCAGGCAGGCAGGTGAGCGATTGGGAGCCAGCAGTCCTGGATTGTGACATGGGTCCCAGATTGGAGAGGGTGCAGGCTGGGGTGAGGAACACCCCACCTCCCATGCATGGATTTTGTGCACCGGGCCACTAGTATAAATATAATAATTTTACTTTTATTCCAGTTCTGTTTCTCATATCTTGTCTCCCTTTCATCACGTCCCTATAAGATAGACTTTCTCCTGAACCCTGATCCTTGTGGCTGAATCCCACTAGATCTGTTTTTGTATACTTCTGTCATAAACAATCGCTTCCCTAAGACTGCCAAGCAATTGCACTACCCTGATTTGTGCTCTACCAGCCTATGGAACTCCCACCATTAGTCCATTTGCCACTGATGCCAATTTTCTATAGTCAGACTCTGAAGTATCTTTCTAATGTATTTAAGCATTTTTAAAGTATCTTTCTTTTTTAAAAAAAATATATTTTATTGATTTTTCACAGAGAGGAAGAGAGAGGGATAGAGAGTTAGAAACGTCGATGAGAGAGAATCATCGACCAGCTGCCTCTTGCATACCCCCCACAGGAGGTGTGCCCGCAACCAAGGTACATGCCCTTGACCAGAATCGAACCCGGGACCTTTCAGTCCGCAGGCTGACGCTCTATCCACTGAGCCAAACTGGTGCCGGCCAAAGTATCTTTCTAACTGCTGGAATCTTTTTTGGTCAATTGTCATGTTCTGGAAAGTCTATTGTTACGTTATTGGCTGTGTTGCATTTGCCAATTAAGCCCCAGTTCTGAGAGTTCCCATAAAGGGGGCAATTCAGAGTAGTTATTTGTCAACTTTTAATTCTCCATGCCCCTTATAAGTCAAAGTTAGTCTAAAGGATAAAGAGTTTCATATGGTTAAAAAAAAAATGGCTAATTATCTTGTGACTCGGTTTCCTTACATTGGAAAGTACAAAGAGGACAATTTGAGTTAAGATATGCCTATGTTTATTTAACATACATTCACACAAAATAAAATATTTTGGCAATTCAGCAGCTAAATGCATTTAGGATATATCCACATTAATAAGACAAAGGTAGCATAGCACACTAGATGAATGCACAAGCACTAGGAGGGTACAACAGATTTGAGGTTACATTTTGGCTCAAAAATTTATCAGCTATTGAATATGTGATCTTTGGGCCTTAGCTTCATTTGCAAAATGGGAACCATGGATATTTACCTCATAGGGTTGTTATGCGGACCAAATAAGATACTATATATATGAGATGCTTAAGATAGTGAATAGCACACAGAAAATGCTCAATGAATGGCAACTTCAGAAAATATGATACCTAAAATTGCCCTCTCCCACAATGGCAGAAGTTAATGATATTGATAGTTCATAGGACTTATAAAGTTGATCTTTAACTTAAAAATGTGCCAAAAGTCCCAAGTGAGTTGCTAATCTATCCATAAAAACAATGTTTTAAATGGTGATTATGTTGCCAATCCAGCCCAAACTAGCCATTTTAACTCATTTTATACCTGAAGTATAATACAAAGAGTATAGTACTATTTAACTATTATTGTTCCCATGGTACTGACAAGTACTAGGGGATGGGGGCCCATGAGGAGGAGTGAGCTATCATTGCCTTGGAAGTAGGGGCCCATAGACAAGTCTGTTCATCAGTGTGTGTGGGTAAATGACATAATAGCTGTATTAAGAAAGATCATATATCAAGCTCAGAAAAAACTTAATATAAATTATAAAAACTAGCAAGTTACAGAAAGAATCACAACTATAACCTAGGCTGGAATCATTGTGGTGATAATAAGGAATGTCTTAGTGTACTCTAGCACACAACTTTAATTTGTGAGTATTAAAAAGAGATCATTTGATATTTTTAGCATGACTTCAAATCATAAATAGTTCCTTATGAACCCACGGAAGATAGGTCTATGTTTTTCAACATCTATACCTTTGCAAATAAGAAAAGCAGATGCAGCCTGTCAACCTATGAACCAAGAGGTAATTGCTCAATTCCAGGTCAGGGCATATGCCTGGGTGTGGGCTCAATCCCCAGGGTGGGGTGTGCAGGAGGCAGCCAATCAATGCAATGATTCTCACTCATCATTGATTTTTTTTCTCTCTCTCTCCCTCTCTGAAAAAAAAATAAAAATAAAGCAGACACAAACTTGCTAAATGGTAAAATGAAGTATCCTATATAACAAAAGGCTAATATGTAAATTGACTGAATGGAGGAACAACCAGTCACTATGATGCACACTGACCAGCTGGGGGCAGATGCTCAATGCAGGAGCTGCCCCTGGTGGTCAGTGTGCTCTTACAGGGGGAGATCCACTCATCCAGAAGCCAGGCTCACAGCTGGCCAGCACAGCATCGCTGGCAGAAGCATCTCCTCCTCCATAGCAGTCAGACATTCCCTGAGGGATCAGGGACTGCGAGGGTACAGGCTGGGCTGAAGGACCCGCTGAGTGCATGAATTTCATGCACTGGGCCTCTAGTTTTATTTATAAAAAAGAAAAGAAGGTGCCTATGTTTTCTACATAGGAAAAGCCTAGGTGATAATCTGAGAGCTTTTATAGACAACCTAGCAAAGAAAAGTCATCAGTTACTGAATGAGATGAACACAGGATGATATACTGAAATTAAAACACAGTTTATCTGAATAAACTGGCTATTTGTACATTATTAATGATGTCCTTTAAAGTAGGTATTATAATATTTTCTTCCTAATGTGAAGTTAAAAGCTATATAACAAACTTAAAGACTACTTATATTTAATAGCATTAATAATTAGTACCCAAACCAGCATTATTATTATAATCTACTGTGACAATATTACACTCCTGAAAATTATGTTCTTGGGAAGCACATTACTTCATAATAAAATTATAATTCAATTACAACTTTGTATCTTGCAGTTTAAATCACATTAGCACTTATATAATAAGCTGTTATTAAAAAGGCCTTCCATTTCGGTTAAAAAAAATTCAACATTAAAATTCACTCATGAATAAAAATGACCTATACTATCTGGCTGAAAACTTGTTGGCAATTTCTGCTTGGAAAAAAATGGAACATCAAAGCAAAAATGACTTGGTAATTTTAAGCCATAAATGTATATTTTGAACCATCTTGGATTCCTATTAAACTAATAGAAAGAATGATGGATGAGAGTTGTGACTTCCTGCTTTTGTAATCACTGGCTGAATATGATTATCTTGGATCACCATTAGACCCTGAAGATGAGAAACAAAGACTCTGGTGGAAAACTGTAAATGTATGGGTCATGGCCTTGCCGCTATTACTAAAAATTAAAGGTTCAATGAGGCCATTTGCTCCTGTAAGATCCTTGTCTCTAGTTGGACTGAAATTTCCTTCTGTGGTCTTAGAACAATGTTAAATTACCCACTTATTGATTCAATTGACATATTATGACAACTATTTCTTTCAAAAGTTTGGACTTGTGTTTCAAAAATGATATTTTCTATTCTTCATTTTCTGTCAAGTGTAGAAAGGTATATTTATATATGCATATGAACCTTCAGCTTAATGGAATCATAGTTCACTTTAAGCAGTTTGTGTCAGCCTGCCCCACACCTCTTCATAGCCCTGCCCAGGATTACTGTCACAAAATTCCACTTTAATTTAACACACTCCTCAGCAACTATAATAGCAGCCTTTGGGACACTGGCTTGTGTGAAAACATTAAAGAAATCATATTAATTGTGAAAAACCATGTTACGTGTTGTTTTCCTAGATAAGAAAACACCTTAAGACCATTTTAAAATGACATTTTGTTTGTCTTACTAGTTTTTTACAAATGACTCAGGTTGACACAAAGAAAGTCCGTGAATTTCAGAATAATACAATAATAGGCCAACTGTTTAAATTAGAAACAATGTTTCTTTAGAATACTGGCATTATAAATTCATTTTTTCTGAATGTGTATTTGTAGCATTTTATATTCTTATTCCAACAGTGGAACTCATAAATGATCTCTTGTAGGTCATCATTATATTCAATAATGTGAAAGTATCTGATACTTGATTTAAAGTTGTTTTGTTGTTAGATAGAAAAAACTTTAAGGGTAAATTGTAGAGATATTAATGAGAGAGATACTTTTCTAGTATATTTTCCCAACCCACAGAAGACAAAACATTTCACTTTCCCTATCACACCAACTTCCTAACACAAGACTGAAAAACACCAACAGCCTTACCTGTTTGACTGCATTATCATTTCCTAAACCACAGTCTGGGCCAGAGCAGACATAAACGTTGGATGATAAATCATTGTAAGAGTTCCTGCTGATGTCTGAAGAATCTCTCATACTGAAGTAAAGAGCCCATAGAATTCTTGGCTTTTCAACTTCATTTTCTAAATGAAGACATAAATTTTACTTACATGTAAACCACAATTTGCCTTGTCGATAACTATAATATATAGTCAATTACTAACAAAGTCATAAGTATGTATTTTAATAAATTAGAGCTTTGTATATATACAATACTAAATCTGCATTCATATTTTTACTCTAATACGCATATTTCAACCAATGATTTTTCAACCTAAGGCAAGTTAGATTTTTAAAATTAATTTGATTAGTAAGTTACTTCGATTTAACTCCAATTGTGTTCTCTCCAATTTGTATTATTTCTCCTCACCAGTATCAAAGATCTTATGATTACATTCATTCTTAAATTATGCCTCTAAAGATAATAGCACACATTGGTTTCTTACATATCACATAGACAAACCTACTTAAAAATTATATAATAATTTGATAGTATAATGGCATTATGAGATGCCCAGAATAGACAAATGTACAGAGACAAAAAATAGATTAATGGTTACTTAGGGCTGTGGGGAAATGGGGGTAAGTGGAGGATGACTGCTAATGGGTCTGGGTTTCTTTGTGAGGTGATGAAAATAAAGTAAAATTGACTGTGGTGATGTATGAACAAATATTAAAAGACACTAAATTTTACACTTTAAATGAGCGAATTATATGGTATGTGAATTATATTTCAATGAAGCTGTTATTAAAAATAGGATATACAGGATTACAACTTTGACATTTTAGTTTACTAACACTTTGTCCTGCTGGGTGACAAAATTAATGGGGACCAACAAACAAACAGAAATAAGGTTAGATACTGCAAGTTGTACACATATTCTCATTTAACAGCAAGCATCTATATTATGTGCTAGAGATTGGGCTACTACCGTGTTTCCCTGAAAATAAGACATCCTCTGAAAATAAGACCTAGCGCATCTTTGGGAGCAAAACTTAATATAAGACACTGTCTTATTTTCGGGGAAACAGGGTAGCAGGGGATACACAGAAGACTTAGTCCTTAATCTTTTGCTTTTTTTAATGTTCCTTCACACAGGGCCTAGTACACAACACATCTCAATGAATAATTTCTGAATTGACTTTAATCCTGTTTTCAGGTATAATGAAAGTATGATGTGCTTATTAAAAGGCCCAATTTTATTTGCCTCAATACCTAAAGCCTATTCCTTGCTATCTTAATAATTATTTTCTCTCTCTGTTCCTTAGAAATGCTATGATTAAATTGTCTTTGGTTGAAAACAAATTCAAATTCTATATAATGATAATGGATATGTATGAAGACTACCCAAAGTCATGAATCATAGAGAAAATGCTAAAGGTATAATTATCTACTTGGTTAACTTTTGTTAAATTGGTAATCAATTGGAAATTTTAAGCTAATTGAAGTATTCAATTAACAAGAATGCCCCATTCCCCAATTCAGAATGAATAGGATCTTATAGTATTTAATATAAAATATCTCTATTATAAGAATATCAACTATGTTATTTTTTTCTAATTCATCCTGAAAAATCCAAAATTACCACTATGATAGGATGAAGAAACTCTGAATGTACAATAAAATGTAACCCTTTGAGATACTCCTTTCTAATACTAAGACCTACGAGTCTAAGGTATCACTAACTTAAGGTAATCACACGACAGATGGCAAAACCTATTTATTGACAACAACAAAAAAAAGAGAGACAAAATGAACTCATTTTACAATAAAACCATATGACTGTTAGTATACTTATTGGTGAGTTTAGTTTCATTACATCTTATAGGAAGATAATTAAATATACCGGCTTTGAGTTCTAACACCAGATTCCAGGACCACTGCAGAATAGTAGGCTAAGGTCTAGAAGTCCTTTAATATTGCCCAATCTGTTTCTGAGCATATACAAAGAACTTGTATTTCATGAAAGGTCTAGGTCAGAGGAGGACTTTCTCTAAATAAAAGTTGGGGGAAATTAATAATCTAATAAATTATAAGGAAGAAATTTTATAGAGGCCAAAGCTTTGAAAAAGATACCATGAGGAAGATGAGAAGTTGACATAGGATGAAGATAAATGCTCCTGATACAATGGAGTTATCAGGCTTGGCCCTTAAAACTCTCAAAGAGACATATAATTGCTTTATCTTTCTTTGAGGTCAGCTGGAAGGCAGCAAGATAGCTGGAAAAAACATGTAGTTGTGAAGTACAAATAAAGTTGCAGAGGTTTGGCTAGGAATATATTAATTGGCCAAAAGTAAAACTGGTTATCTGTAATAGCTCATTTAATTCAATTAGACTAGAGGTCCGGTGCACAAAATTCATGTGGGATGGGGGGGAAGGGTGTCCCTCAGCCCAGCCTGCACCCTCTCCAATCTGGGATTCCTCTCACAATCCAGGACTGTTGGCTCCAAACCACTTGGCTGCCTGCCTGATTGTCCCTAACTGCTTCTGCCTGCTAGCCTGATCACCCCCTAACCACTCCCCTGCCAGCCTGATTGACACCTAACTGCTCCCCTGCTGACCTGATTGACCCCAACTACACTTCCATGCAGGCCTGATCTCCCCCATCCCCAATTATCACCCCTTGCAGGCCTGGTCCCTCTCAATTGCCCTCCCCTTTGGCCATCTTGTGGCAGCCAAGTTGTGTCCACATGGGGGCAGCCATCTTGTGAGTTAAAGTGACGATCAATTTGCATATTACCTCTTTATTATATAGGACTAGATGCTCAGTGCACAACATTTGTGCACTGGGGGTTGGGGGAGATTCCTCAGTCTGGTCTGCACCTTCTCTCAGTCCAAGACCCCTCAGGAGAAGTCCGCCTTCCAGCTTAGGCTCCGCTAATTTGGTTGATTTGCATATTAGGATTTTATTATATAGGATACCTCTATCTCTCTATCTACCTATCATCTATGTATCTGTCTCCCTGCCCTCAAGGAACTTGCCTTCAGTTTAATATTTTATCTTTCCTCCTATTAGGAATGACTATTTCTGTGTAAGCTATAATAAAGCTATGCACAGAGCAGACTGAATATCAAAGAATGTGTCAAAAGGCTTCACAATGCAGCTGTCAATTCTTTGAAGACTTGAAAACAGAGTAGGATTTAAAAAGGGACCGACATTTTTTGAAAAGCCAAGTGCATGCATTTTTGAAGATAGCCCTCCATTGCTACACAGAGGATCCTGGCACAGTGATTCTCAACTTTGCCCACCCAACTATCGATAAAACCACTCAGGGAACTTTCAAGGCAGACATGCCAGGCCCCTACCCCTGAGATAGAGTTTGTTTTATCTCAGAAGAGGCCTGGTCACGGAGACTTTAAGAGTCTCCAGCTGATTCTCATAAGCAGCCAAAGCTGAGTGCCCTTGCCTCAGGTGATAGGCAAGAGGTTGTAAGTAGGATAAAACTGGCTGTGTTACCAGGCTGTTGTAAAAACCTCCTATGTATAGGGTGGGGCAAAAGTAGATTTACAGTTGTGAATATGCAAATCAGAGTTAATTAAGCTATTGTAATAATCATAACCTGCATGTGTTTTTCCATATGAACCACTGTAAACCTACTTTTGCCTAACTGTGTATAATAATTTACACCAATTGTGGAAGTCATCTAAATTACTGGCATACATTTGTTCATAGCATTCCTATAGAAAGTTATAAAATCTTGCAATCTATCTCATTTTAGCTTACATTTCCAGAGTATTTTAAATATATTTTATTGATTTTTTACAGAGAGGAAGGGAGAAGGACAGAGAGTTAGAAACAATGATGAGAGAGAAACATCAATTATCTGCCTCTTGCACACCTCCTACTGGGGTTGTGCCCACAACAAAGGTACATGCCATTGACCAGAATCAAATCTGGGGCCTTTCAGTCGGCAGGCCAACACTCTATCCACTGAGCCAAACTGGCTAGGGCTTCCAGGGTATTTTAGACACTTCCCTTTATAGTATAAAATAATGTTACTTGCGAGACTTGAAAATAATTTTATATTCCCCATTCTTATGTGGATGAAGGCAAAATAAAATAAATTTACTATCTTTGTTAGATACAAATAAAGTGTCTAATCCAATGCCAGGACTGGGCTAGATAATGACGTATGTAATCTTTTTTTTTTTTTAATATATTTTATTGATTTTATACAGAGAGGAAGGGAGAGAGATAGAGAGTTAGAAACATCGATGAGAGAGAGTCATCGATCAGCTGCCTCTTGCACACCCCCTACTGGGAATATGCCCGCAACCAAGGTACATACCCTTGACCAGAATCGAACCTGGGACCCTTCAGTCCCCAAGCCGACGCTCTATCCATTGAGCCAAACCGGTCCTGGCATGTAATCTTAATTTATCTTCCATCAACTCATTTATGCCCACATAACAATTTTATGTATGTATGTGTGTGTATACATAGACAACAAAGTATAGGGTTATTAAATGCACAACTTACATTAATAAACATTATTTTTCTGAAAAAATATTATGAAAATACTTTCTTTTTAAGTGCAAAGTACACTGTTTAGCCCTAGTATAATGTTCTAACATACCTTAGCCAACATCAAGGGTCATGTAGATTACTATGACCTATTGTAAGGACATTCTTATCACCAAATAACAGTGTTCACCTGGGTGGAATGCTGGTTAAACCCTTTCACAGACACCGCTTCATCCTGGAGTGATAATAGTTAATATAACTAAACATGGCTTAGGGAAAACTCAGGCTGTGAGGTAATTAAAAAAAAAAATATATATATATATATATAAATTATATATATATATATATATATATATATATATTATTTCAGAGAGGAAGGGAGAGGAAATGCTGGAAACATCAATGATGAGAGAGAATCATTGATTGGCTGCCTCCTGCACATGCCTCCTACTGGGGATCAAGCCTGCAACCCATGCATGTGCCCTGACAGGGAATTGAACCTCGATCTCCTTGTATATAGGTCCATGCTCAATCACTGAGCCATGCAGTCTGAGCATGCTGAGGTAATTATTTTAAGATTTATCTGAATAAACCATGGTGGACATCTGTACTCTGC